CCCCAAAACCCCAAAACCCCAAAACCCCAAAACCCCAAAACCCCAAAACCCCTTAAATAGGGACTCTCATTGGAAAATTATTATTTATCCCTATTTCATCTGTTACCGTTGCTTTGCTCTATAGCTCTGATTCATGATTGAGTGGTTCGATGGAATTCAGAACAACTTTGGGCTAGAAAATTCAGTCTTTGAGTTCATAATGTGGCCTTCAATTGAAGGCTGATTTACACTATTCATGTGGAAGTTGTTTGCATTACTATAAAATTTGATAAAATCTTAACGAATAACAAGTTCAGATGTTCAAAAATTAAGCAATCAGAGAAATCAAGGGAAATGCCTACACTTCACGATGTTTTCGACCGTATCTTCCTACAGGGGTCTTATTCGGCTTTCTCTTGCTCTTCTTTCTCTTTGTATGTTCTTTAGGAGTGTTGCTCTCTCAAAAATGGGCTCCTTTAGATGAGCTATAATTGATAAAAGACTTTGTGGAAAAGTCAATGGTGTCTATTTTGCTATTGAAATTCTTATTCAGGATATATCTGTTATCAGCCCTCTTCGCATCCCTATCCGTGCTCTTGATCTTCCTAATAGAGTTATTTGAGTTGATCGTCTCTGTGAGCATCCTCTTCTTCCTTGTGGAAGGCTTCCTATTCAGCTTTTTAAGATTTTTCTTAAGGATGCTCTGGTTGATATTTATTTTAAACTTATTCTGCCGTTCAGGGAAGCTCAAATTAAGAGTTTTCTGGAGCATTTTATAGTTATTTTCTCACAGAGTCCGTCGAGCCACTGTCTCCAGGCATAAAATTTCCATTAAGTGGCACAAAGGCAGCTTTGTTGTCTTTTAACACATACTTGCCTGTGTTTTCCTGGGATTTATACCTTCGATTGCTGCGATAAGAGGCAGAACCAGGGGTATTCATCCTTATATAGCTAGATTTATGATGAATAGGGAGGTCAATTTTAGGTTGCTTCCTAGGAAACTTGAAAGTCTGGTTCATTTTCGAATTTTTAAACTTCTCCTCATTCTCAGTCATGAACTCTCTGAGCTCCTTCTCGATCTCATGGTTAACATGTTGAGGGAACATGAGGGAGGACTCTGGTGGATAAATACTAGATATTATATTCCCATTGTCCTTTCTTCTATACTCTACTGAGTGAGCAACCTTCCGTTCAGGCTTTGGGGCTGCCCCATTACTTCATTCTGCCTGCATATGGTCCGAAACGGGTGGATTTCAGTATAGGTTTGTTCCTTCAAGGAGCATTCGATTTCCTAAGGATCTTCTTTTGAGTAGTCAATTGAAGAGTTAGGAATTTTTGGTTCAAAGCCATTTTGGAAATTTAAATAAGTTTTTAATCTTTTGGGGTTTTGGGGTTTTGGGGTTTTGGGGTTTTGGGG